CATTTTTGCTATATATGCGGAGAATATGTGTTTAACGATTGTAGAAAAGTTATATCAGAGTTGGTGAAAAATACCTATTTTGGGATGTTCTTGGATAAAAATGAGAAGTCTTGGGCTCCCAATTGTGTTTGTAAATCGTGTGTGGAATATTTAAGATTATGGAAAAGTGGTAAAAAAATGCCTGTAAATTTGAAACACCGACTATTTGGCGAGAACTACGAAATCATTTCGAAGACTTGTTATTTTTGTACCGTGAACGGTTTAAACACTAAAATGGCAGTACCCAAGTACTAGTTGTGTTCAACGTCCAGTGCAGCGTTCACCTGACTCTTCAGTGCCTAAAAATATATCTGAACCCTTAGAACAAGACATTGAAAGACCAGGCTCATCACAAAATGATGCTGGTTTTGAAGGTATGTCAAAGAGAGCCAAAATTGTTAACATCAAGACTGAAAGAAAAAAATTTGCTTTCCTCAGATACTAAAATAAATTTTTATCGTGAAAGAGATAAAGAATTACGGCGTTATTTTTCCGAAGAAAACGGTATTACATTTTGTTCAGATATTAAAAACTTGTTAATAAAAAATGGGCTTATTAATTATTAATTATTTAAATAATTATTAAATTATTAAAAATTATTAATTATTAAATTATTAAAAATTATTAATTATTAAATTATTAAAAATTATTAATTATTAAATTATTAAAAATTATTAATTATTAAATTAATAAAAATTATTAATTATTAAATTATTAAAAATTATTAATTATTAAATTATTAAAAATTATTAATTATTAAATTATTAAAAATTATTAATTATTAAATTATTAAAAATTATTAATTATTAAATTATTAAAAATTATTAATTATTAAATTATTAAAAATTATTAATTATTAAATTATTAAAAATTATTAATTATTAAATTATTAAAAATTATTAATTATTAAATTATTAAAAATTATTAATTATTAATTATTAATTATTAATTATTAATTATTAATTATTAATTATTAATTATTAATTATTAATTATTAATTATTAATTATTAATTATTAATTATTAATTATTAATTATTAATTATTAATTATTAATTATTAATTATTAATTATTAATTATTAATTATTAATTATTAATTATTAATTATTAATTATTAATTATTAATTATTAATTATTAATTATTAATTATTAATTATTAATTATTAATTATTAATTATTAATTATTAATTATTAATTATTAATTATTAATTATTAATTATTAATTATTAATTATTAATTATTAATTATTAATTATTAATTATTAATTATTAATTATTAATTATTAATTATTAATTATTAATTATTAATTATTAATTATTAATTATTAATTATTAATTATTAATTATTAATTATTAATTATTAATTATTAATTATTAATTATTAATTATTAATTATTAATTATTAATTATTAATTATTAATTATTAATTATTAATTATTAATTATTAATTATTAATTATTAATTATTAATTATTAATTATTAATTATTAATTATTAATTATTAATTATTAATTATTAATTATTAATTATTAATTATTAATTATTAATTATTAATTATTAATTATTAATTATTAATTATTAATTATTAATTATTAATTATTAATTATTAATTATTAATTATTAATTATTAATTATTAATTATTAATTATTAATTATTAATTATTAATTATTAATTATTAATTATTAATTATTAATTATTAATTATTAATTATTAATTATTAATTATTAATTATTAATTATTAATTATTAATTATTAATTATTAATTATTAATTATTAATTATTAATTATTAATTATTAATTATTAATTATTAATTATTAATTATTAATTATTAATTATTAATTATTAATTATTAATTATTAATTATTAATTATTAATTATTAATTATTAATTATTAATTATTAATTATTAATTATTAATTATTAATTATTAATTATTAATTATTAATTATTAATTATTAATTATTAATTATTAATTATTAATTATTAATTATTAATTATTAATTATTAATTATTAATTATTAATTATTAATTATTAATTATTAATTATTAATTATTAATTATTAATTATTAATTATTAATTATTAATTATTAATTATTAATTATTAATTATTAATTATTAATTATTAATTATTAATTATTAATTATTAATTATTAATTATTAATTATTAATTATTAATTATTAATTATTAATTATTAATTATTAATTATTAATTATTAATTATTAATTATTAATTATTAATTATTAATTATTAATTATTAATTATTAATTATTAATTATTAATTATTAATTATTAATTATTAATTATTAATTATTAATTATTAATTATTAATTATTAATTATTAATTATTAATTATTAATTATTAATTATTAATTATTAATTATTAATTATTAATTATTAATTATTAATTATTAATTATTAATTATTAATTATTAATTATTAATTATTAATTATTAATTATTAATTATTAATTATTAATTATTAATTATTAATTATTAATTATTAATTATTAATTATTAATTATTAATTATTAATTATTAATTATTAATTATTAATTATTAATTATTAATTATTAATTATTAATTATTAATTATTAATTATTAATTATTAATTATTAATTATTAATTATTAATTATTAATTATTAATTATTAATTATTAATTATTAATTATTAATTATTAATTATTAATTATTAATTATTAATTATTAATTATTAATTATTAATTATTAATTATTAATTATTAATTATTAATTATTAATTATTAATTATTAATTATTAATTATTAATTATTAATTATTAATTATTAATTATTAATTATTAATTATTAATTATTAATTATTAATTATTAATTATTAATTATTAATTATTAATTATTAATTATTAATTATTAATTATTAATTATTAATTATTAATTATTAATTATTAATTATTAATTATTAATTATTAATTATTAATTATTAATTATTAATTATTAATTATTAATTATTAATTATTAATTATTAATTATTAATTATTAATTATTAATTATTAATTATTAATTATTAATTATTAATTATTAATTATTAATTATTAATTATTAATTATTAATTATTAATTATTAATTATTAATTATTAATTATTAATTATTAATTATTAATTATTAATTATTAATTATTAATTATTAATTATTAATTATTAATTATTAATTATTAATTATTAATTATTAATTATTAATTATTAATTATTAATTATTAATTATTAATTATTAATTATTAATTATTAATTATTAATTATTAATTATTAATTATTAATTATTAATTATTAATTATTAATTATTAATTATTAATTATTAATTATTAATTATTAATTATTAATTATTAATTATTAATTATTAATTATCAATTATCAATTATCAATTATCAATTATCAATTATCAATTATCAATTATCAATTATCAATTATCAATTATCAATTATCAATTATCAATTATCAATTATCAATTATCAATTATCAATTATCAATTATCAATTATCAATTATCAATTATCAATTATCAATTATCAATTATCAATTATCAATTATCAATTATCAATTATCAATTATCAATTATCAATTATCAATTATCAATTATCAATTATCAATTATCAATTATCAATTATCAATTATCAATTATCAATTATCAATTATCAATTATCAATTATCAATTATCAATTATCAATTATCAATTATCAATTATCAATTATCAATTATCAATTATCAATTATCAATTATCAATTATCAATTATCAATTATCAATTATCAATTATCAATTATCAATTATCTATTATCAATTATCTATTATCTATTATCTATTATCTATTATCTATTATCTATTATCTATTATCTATTATCTATTATCTATTATCTATTATCTATTATCTATTATCTATTATCTATTATCTATTATCTATTATCTATTATCTATTATCTATTATCTATTATCTATTATCTATTATCTATTATCTATTATCTATTATCTATTATCTATTATCTATTATCTATTATCTATTATCTATTATCTATTATCTATTATCTATTATCTATTATCTATTATCTATTATCTATTATCTATTATCTATTATCTATTATCTATTATCTATTATCTATTATCTATTATCTATTATCTATTATCTACTATCTACTATCTACTATCTACTATCTACTATCTACTATCTACTATCTACTATCTACTATCTACTATCTACTATCTACTATCTACTATCTACTATCTACTATCTACTATCTACTATCTACTATCTACTATCTACTATCTACTATCTACTATCTACTATCTACTATCTACTATCTACTATCTACTATCTACTATCTACTATCTACTATCTACTATCTACTATCTACTATCTACTATCTACTATCTATTATCTATTATCTATTATCTATTATCTATTATCTATTATCTATTATCTATTATCTATTATCTATTATCTATTGTCTATTATCTATTGTCTATTATCTATTATCTATTATCTATTGTCTATTATCTATTATCTATTATCTATTATCTATTATCTATTGTCTATTGTCTATTGTCTATTGTCTATTGTCTATTGTCTATTGTCTATTGTCTATTGTCTACTGTCTATTGTCTATTGTCTATTGTCTATTGTCTATTGTCTATTGTCTATTGTCTATTGTCTATTGTCTATTGTCTATTGTCTATTGTCTATTGTCTATTGTCTATTGTCTATTGTCTATTGTCTATTGTCTATTGTCTATTGTCTATTGTCTATTGTCTATTATCTATTGTCTATTATCTATTATCTATTATCTATTATCTATTATCTATTATCTATTATCAATTATTAATTATCAATGATTATCAATTATTAATTATTAATTGGTTTCCATATAATGATACAATGATTTTGACCAATTTTTTTATTTATTACTTTGCTAACTTTATTTAATTTAATTTTTCTGTTTCAGGAACATAACATAGTTCTCTGTAAAGTAGGAAGACTACCAGATTGTCCCGGTGTAAAAATTAAATGCGTGCGTGGAAAATACGACCTATCACATGTTGTAATTAATAGAAAATAGGATCAACTTAATATGTTTATTAGAATATAACTTTTAATCTAATAATGCTTTTAATTTAATTTTACATTTACACTAATAATCAAGCGCTGCAAGAGATTTTAGGGCAGTTGTTCCATCGAGTGAATCAGCATATTTATTACAATTGCTTTCCACATTGTTTGTAGGCGAATGTTGTGTTCGCAACATCTGTAGAGGAAGTGAGGAAGCGGGCACAAGGGGGAAGGTAAATTCCCCTCATGTTCAGTGGCGTATCATTTCTCTGTAAGATTACACATTGTCCAAACATTTTTAATTGTTCAAAAAACTAAAAAATTCGCTAGTTTTACTATTAATAAAATGTATAGAGTCTTATATGTGTGTCTGATGCAGGAAATAAAATAAAATTTCTGTAAAGGTCTAATTTTTTCAATTAAAGAATAAAACCTCAAAACCAATACATCAGTTTTAGTAAATATAAATCGTGTATTTATTTAGTTTCGGTCTTACAGGGACATCTTCAGGCCTGTAATACAATAATCCTTAATTATTTTAATAGGAACAGTATAAGAATAGGTTGGTCCCTTACGATTAAAATTAAATAGTATAAATCACAAAAATGGATCCATATTGTAGCATTACAGTATTGTAGAATTAAAGCTGTGGAAAAGAAAAAATAAAAGAGCGGTGCAAACTAAACTAAAAATAATAAAAATGGGTACGGAATCTACAAGAGATTAGAATGAGCAATTACGAATGCATTTAAATTGCTCGGGATAACAAATAAGGCTGATAATGTATCAAAGAAGGCCCGGATATGTGAAAGAGGATTTGGCGTTTTCTCTGTAAATCTTGAGAATATAAAGGTGGGTACTCACTGAGCGAACGAACTCCGAACGAACAGCGACCTCCGAACAACAAAGGTTCAACGAAGGTTCTCAGTTTGTTCGGTTGTAAATTTGTCGACGCGGGAACCCGAAGCGAATATAGTTATTTTTAAAGTTCGATTAGCATTTGCCTGTATGAAGCGAATACAGTTATTTTTAAAAGTTCGATTGGCATTTGCCTGTATGTGCAAAAATGTGTGACGAAATTCTCGCGGCATCGTCTTTCGTAATTATTGCGGGATTACTAAAAACAAGTAAACAAGTATTAGAAATTAAAAATTTAAAAAAACCGACTTCAAAAACGTGCAGATGTCATCACCACATCTTAACAAAATTTATATGGGACCACCCCTGAGGTACCCCCTTACTAACAAAAAAGAATCATATAAATCAGACAAGGTGGTAAAGCATTATCGATAAAAATACATAAAAAATTAAGAGTTTTAGGATTTTCTCATGGACCCAATTATTAGATTTTGACTAAATTTATATGGGACCATCCCTGAAATACCCCCTTTCCAACAAAAAAAAGAATCATTGAAATCGGACACCGTGTTAAAGAATAATCGATGAACATATATAAAAAAAAAATATCGCGACGAATTGATAACCTCCTCCTTTTTTGAAGTCGGTTAAAAACAAAAAAGAAAACGAAGATATTGGATGTCAAAAATATACCAAAGTCGAGATAAATATAGGGGCTGGACCTTTTATCTGATCTAAGGAGGGATTTAGGACTGTTCCATAATTTTTGTAGAATGACCGCCTCTGATTTTGAACTTTTACTTCAAAAAATAGGTGCAAAAATTTGTAAAAAGTCTACTAATTTTCGAGAAGCAATTCCACCTAAGGAAAGACTGGCACTAGCTTTGCGATTTTTAGCAACTGGAGATTCCTATACAAGTCTGATGTATCTTTTTAAGATATCCAAGCAAGTGATTTCAAAAATAATTCCTGAAGTTTGTGGCGCATTAGCCGAGAATACCGATCAAGGAGAAGCGACAGTAGCTGTCGGTGCCTTTGATATCGGATGTACTTTTTTCACAGCATGACTTTGATTGATACACAACTTAGCACGCTGAGAAAACATGCTTATTTTCTACACTGAGCGAAATAGTTTGGCAAATTATCTGAAATTATTGTTATAGTCCATGCGCAAATGTTGCAATGTGACTTAATTACATTGAAGTAGTTAGGGTTAATAGCAATGGTGAAATTTCGGCACCAAAATATAATTCACTATGTAATAATTATTTGTTATAAAAGTAAAATACGTTTATTATTTTATAAGTTATCTATAAAATTTGTTCAATATTTGGTTTATTTATTGTTAAAAATGTAATAAAAGCCTAATATTTAAATTAAAATACCTTTTCCTTAAGTAAAAATAAGGTAAATAAAATTAAGGGTGCCTAAAAAAAATTTGGTAACAATTAAAAAGACATTAAGTTTGAGAGGTTTAACTAAATATTTGCAATGTGCATATATTTTCAAAGCTTTTAGGTTTAAAAAGTACTTACATATTTTTAGAATTTCTAGATTTATATTATATTAAAAGGACTTTCAAGTTTATCACTTATTTCTGTAGAAACAAATGTTTTCTCGCCAAGTTAAACGAGATGTCATTTAAGGTTTATGTATTTAGAGTTAAATACCTGGCCTGGCTATCACCCAGACAATACAAATATATCCATTGGACGTCCATTCGATATACAATTTTGCATGTCTAGACGTCCAAAAATGAGTTTTTTCTGGACTTCCGACATCCAATGGACGTCCAGTGAAGTATACAAATGGCACACTTTTGACCATTCAGAGAACGTCCAATTCTGGAATATATTTGGACGTCGAATGGACATTCAAAAAACGTCCAGGATTATATTTCCATTGAGACCACATCCCCATTTTTTTTACAGAACCGTAACTCACCAAACACTTTCATATTATTAATAATATGTTTATTATTTTCGCAAACCGCTATACACCATTTATTTATTTTTTATTAAAAATTGCTTGACTTTAGCAGGAATCGAACTCACGACACATCCATTATCGTTTTACGCTTTCAATCGCTAGACGAGCTCGACCAAAGAACCACTTGAAAACTTTTTACTAGATACAGTTATAATTGAATAAGATTTCAAACTTCAACTGATAGTATGAAATGCAATAGATTCAATTTGTCAATTTTTAATGACCAGTTATATTAAAAAAAAGAAGTATATATAGATGGGTATTATCTGGTAGGCTTAATAAATAATGACCTAAGATGGACGTCAAAATACTACTAAACTTAAAATTAAGTCCAAAAAGAGACGTTCTCTGGGTATCGATATTCAGCTGTCAAATTAATTAGCATAAACGGACGTACACTGGATGCCAGGATATGGACGTCCTGACCCTCAAATAGATCTAAAGTGAACGTCCATTGGACTATGTGTGCATAGACGAATTTTTAGAAATAGTACTTATTTAAGTATGCACCAATATTTCCAAAATCAACTCCAGTATGATTCATTCAATAAATGTAAATATGAATGGGCAAAACATCTTATATTGACATAATTGTAACTTACAATATAGCCATAATAAAGGGATTTCGCCCACTTTGACCAATCCTAATTGAAACACGCGAATTTATTATATTTTTTTAAATATAATTTCAAAATAAAATAAACAAAATCTGCAGTTCATTGTTTATTAAATTTATTTATAAGAAGAAAAACATATATTTCACAAAATACAATACCTACATATGAAAAATAAAATGTCAAAAATGATTAAATCATTATACTTAATATTTATGCATGTGATAAAATTCTTAGTTTCCTAATAACTTTTTTGGCACATTTTATATCTGTATTAGAATACCTAAGTGTGTAAAAATCTTCATCTTATTACTACACAAAACAAACACCAAAAAATATCACTTAACATTGGTCACGTACTAAACACAACTTGGACTGACTTTGACAGATAACATAATTTTGAGTGATACACAACTTAGTTTCGCACATGCGCGTTACAAAACGGTACACTGAAAACACCAAGCTGTCGCTTCTCCTTGATCGGTATTCTCGGGCATTAGTAGAAGCTTTACACGATTATGTTAAGGTAAGTAAAAAAAAAACTTTATTTATAAATATTTTTTTTTATTTACAAAATCAGATATATTTCAAGAACACATACAAATAAAAAAACCCAAACTAGTTATTCAATAAACAGTACCGTTTTTATTCTCCCGTAAATTCAGTGATAAACTGCATGATATTTTTAATTGGCTGTTCATACTCATATTGTGTAGTAATAATATCTTCATTTTGCGGAGATGGTAATGGTACTGGCGTTTGATAAGGTGTAGAATTAGGTGTAGTGAGAGTATGTGTTAGAGTTCATGAGAGTTATCATCTTAACTACTTACCTTTATGCATTTACTAGTTTACTAGAATATTGAAGTTGTCAATTTAATTTTTTATAGCTTGTCAAATAAACTGTGTTACGGAAGTTCCTAGTCTTTCTTCTGCGTATACCCAACAGGTTATGAGCCCAGGCCTACACCTAACGCGCTAAGTTTATTATTCCTGACACAGTAAGTTATTCCAATTAAAAAAAAAAATATGGCATCAAATTTCAACCAAGTGGAAGCTGTCCAAAGATAATTTTGATACCTGGAAAATCCAGATAGAAGCTATCCTAATAAAGAACGACCATTGGAGTCATGTTATTGGTGAAGTGAAGAAGCCAGACGATGCAAATCAAGCACTAGAGTGGAAGAAAACAGACCAGAAAGCTAGAGCAGATATAATTTTAGCTATTCAACCCTCCGAACTATGCCATATCAAATATTGCAAAACATCGAATGAGATATGGATTAAGCTTCAAGAAGTATATCAGTCTAAGGGTCCTGCCAGAAAAGCAACATTATTAAAGAAACTTCTTTTCTCAAAAATGAAGGAGGACGAAGATATGGCAGATCACCTTAATTCTTTTACGAATATTGTAGATAAACTGAAAGAAATGGGTACCGACGTTGCAGATGATATTTTAACCATTTTAATGTTGTACAGTATTCATTCAAGTTATGAAAATTTTCGTTGCGCTATAGAAACGAGAGATGAACTTCCTAAACCAGATGTTTTAAAAGTAAAACTATTGGATGAATTCAACGCATGAAAAGAAAAAGAGTATTGCGGAGACCAAGATCAAAAGCAGAACGCTCTATGCCAAAACAAACTGGAAGACAGGTCAAACAAATACAACATTGAAAGTTTTAAAAGTAATAAAAATGATCAATTTAAGAGGAAATTTCCATATAAATGCAACTACTGCCAAAAAGTAGGTCACAAAGGTTCCCAGTGCAGAAAAAGACAAGCAACAATATAATGCATCTACGGCAGAAGAAGCTTTTGTGATCAGTACTGAAGGCTGCAATTCTGAGATTCAAGAAAGAACGAGTGTAGCAACGTCGTATCAAGCAAATCAGAGGAATACAGGGCAAGATAAATGGTGCCTAGATAGTGGAGCAACATCCC